GGCCGGCAGCCCCCCAGGCTCACTGTGCTGGTTGATGAGCATGCGGATGGAGATGCGGCTCAGGTAGAAGCGGTCCAGGAAGTACTGGATGTTCTGGTTGGACACGGGGTCGTCCCCGTACGTCTCCTTGTACTCGATCACCCCCTGCGCCATGGTGGGGACAACGTCGTTGTGCCGGTTCCGGATCGTCACCAGCGCGTTGGTGAACCTGCACAGGGGACAGGGACAGTGCTGGGGACACCTGCGCAGGGGACAGGGACAGCGCTGGGGACACCTGCACAGGGGACAGGGACAGCGCTGGGGACACCTGCGCAGGGGACAGGGACAGCGCTGGGGACACCTGCGCAGGGGACAGGGACAGCGCTGGGGACACCTGCGCAGGGGACAGGGACAGCGCTGGGGACACCCGCCCCGGGCACAGCCCCGCTCCAGGCCCGGATCCCTGGGAGCTGCAGGTGCTGGCAAAAGCCGGAGCCAGCTCCTGTGGCACCTCAGGGTGACACCAGCGCGGGTCTGGGAGGAGGTGACGCCCCGGGATGGGGGACAAGGACACGTCGTCACCTCCCGACTCACTGTCCCAGCGTGGCTTGGTCCTCGGGGTCCCTATCGTGGAATTCCATGATGTCCAGCAGGCTCTGCACGTACCTGGGGGGACACAGACATCCCCCAGCTGGCACCCCCAAGCAGAGAGTGACCCCAGGTGACAGCACGCAGGGCCAGGGGCCAGCGCCCCTCAGCCCAGGCCCCCACCCCAAAATCTGCTGCACCAGGGGTCACTGTCCCACCGCACTGCTGGCACTTGGGGACACTGGCCCTCTGATGGGGTTGGGGCTGTGATGGGGGTGGCATGGCCTGACCCCGCTGGCAGCAGCCCAGGACACCGGACAAACAACGTGTCACGTGGTGGCCAGAAAAAGGGTCACACTGCTGGCACTGGCACGGGGACATGGCACTTAAAGGGACACTCAGACCCACCCAAGACAGGGACATCCTGTGGCACTGGTGTCCCCCGCCGCTGGCTGGGACACCCTGCTGGCACAGGAGTGTCCCCAAAGGACCTGCAGCCCGTGTCACCCAAGGGCACGGCGTGGCACCAGCTGGGGAGTGCCCTGCCTGCCACCCCTCCCTGTGTCCCCCCTGTGCCAGCAGGGGAGGACAGCTGGTGACAGCTGTGGGACACACAGTGGTGGTGGCACCCGAGGCGACAGCGGAACTCCCAGGGCGGTGACAGGAGCCACAGTGGCAATGGGAGCTGTGCAGGGGACCCAGGAAGGTGACAACAAGTGGACCCGTGGCAGTGGGACCCCAGGCGAGTGGGGGGACCCGTGGCAGTGGGACCCCAGGCGAGTGGCAGTGGTGGCACTCCCAGCGATGCCAGCTGCCCAGCCAGCGCAGGAGCTCACACTGCTGGCACTGGCACGGGGACATGGCACTTAAAGGGACACTCAGACCCACCCAAGACAGGGACATCCTGTGGCACTGGTGTCCCCCGCCGCTGGCTGGGACACCCTGCTGGCACAGGAGTGTCCCCAAAGGACCTGCAGCCCGTGTCACCCAAGGGCACGGCGTGGCACCAGCTGGGGAGTGCCCTGCCTGCCACCCCTCCCTGTGTCCCCCCTGTGCCAGCAGGGGAGGACAGCTGGTGACAGCTGTGGGACACACAGTGGTGGTGGCACCCGAGGCGACAGCGGAACTCCCAGGGCGGTGACAGGAGCCACAGTGGCAATGGGAGCTGTGCAGGGGACCCAGGAAGGTGACAACAAGTGGACCCGTGGCAGTGGGACCCCAGGCGAGTGGGGGGACCCGTGGCAGTGGGACCCCAGGCGAGTGGCAGTGGTGGCACTCCCAGCGATGCCAGCTGCCCAGCCAGCGCAGGAGCGCGGGTGGCGGTGCCAGCAGCCCCCTGGCAGTGTCCCCGTGTCCCCGAGGGCCACACTGACCAGCTCTGCACCAGCTGCACGGAGGGCGTGCGCAGCACCCGGTCCGGGAGCAGGTTGATCTCCTTCATGATGTTGGAGAGGCGCACGGGCAGCTCCTGGCGCAGGAAGGCGAACGACGTCTTCTCACAGGCATTGCTGGAGCCTGGGGACACGGGGGGACATGAGGAGACACGGGGGGACACGGGGGGACACGGGTGAGCCCCCCAGAGCCAGAGCACAGGGGCGGCACTGCCACCCCTTTGGCAGCAGGGACAGGGGACAGCAGCAGGTCCTGGTCCTTGGCTGGGGGACACTGGGGGACTCTGGCGGGAGGACAGGGAGGGCTGAGGGTGGGGACAGTGCTCAGCCCACTGCGAGGACAGGCTGGGTGCCCAGTGGCACCCAGAACAGCCCAAACTGGGGCTGGGAGACCCCCGAGTGCAGCTGGGAGGGGAGAAGGAGCTGGGCCAGCACCAGAACCCAGAGCAGGCCCAGGGGACCCCAGGGACACAGAGAGGGGTCCCCAACCAGGAGCTGTGCAGGGGGGGCACAGCTGACCCCAAAGGCCTGGATCCCTGGGGACAAGGGACACGGGGATGGAGCTGGGGGGATAGGGAGGACCCCGGAGTGCAGCCCCCAGCCTCTGTCTGGGGAGCAGGGGACAAGAGGGGGCCAGGCTGGGTGACAGCCATGGGGGGACATCCCCCCCAGCCGGGGTCATTGGAGCAGATTGGGGGGTCCCAGCTGCCCACCTGGGGGGGCCAGGCCGGTGCAGGGCCGGGGTCCCTCACAGGGGGTATTTACTGGGGGGGTGGGGGGTCAGGATGTGCCCCAAATGAGGGGGTCTGCGGGGGCAGAGGGGCCACCCCCACAAGGGGCCTGTGAGGAAACCACATCCCAACGCCACTTATTCACCCGGGGGGCGCTGCTAAACCCCCCCGCCCCCAATAACAAAGGGATATTTGGGGGGGGGTCAGGGTTACCACACCCTCAGTGAGGGGGAGCAGCCCCCAGATCCCCCCGGGTTTAGGGGGTGCAGAGGGGAGAAACTCCCTGGGAAGGGTTTGGGTTTCCCGGGCAGGGGGTGTGAAGGAATTCCCGGGCAGGGGGTCGGGAATTCCCGGGGCTGTGCACGGAGCTCCCTCCCCTCACACGGAGGCGGGGGCTGAGGGGTGTCCCGGTGCCGGAGCAGGGTGGGGGTCCCGGGGCCGGGCCGGGGTCGCGGTCGGGGGGCGGAGGGGGCGGGGGGTTCCTTTATTTACCGAAGTCCAGAAACTGCTTCATGGAGAGCGGCGACGGCGAGAACTTGCTGAAGTGCTCGATGTAGGTGGGGACGCCGGCCAGCGCCGCGCGCTTCCCGAGGCACCGCAGCAGCCGCATGGCCCCGCTGTCCCCTCAGTGTCCCCTCGTTGTCCCCTCAGGGTCCCCCCAGGGTCCCCTCAGCGCCCCTCAAGCCCCCGGGCCCAGCCCCGCCCCCGCCGCGCCGCGCGCAAACAACACACCCGCTGTCAATCAAAGAACCTCAGCCAATCAGCGCCCGTTATGCAGGAAACCCCGCCCATCCCCAGTGCCAATCCGGCTTCACCGCTGGGCACGCCTCGCTGTCAATCAGCGTGAGCCACGCCCCTCAGTGGAGTTAATGCTGCCCGTCCCGCTGTCAATCACCGTGAGACACGCCCCTCAATGGAGTTAATGCTGCCCGCCCCGCTGTCAATCACCGTGAGCCACGCCCCTCAATGGAGTTAATGCTGCCCGCCCCGCTGTCAATCAGCTCGCCCCTCGCGGCCAATCAGAGCCCGCACTGCTTTAGGCCCCGCCCATCCTGGAGCTAATCCCGCCCCTCGCTGACGCACCATCTCTGATTTGCATAACCGGGGCTCCCATCAGCCCCTCGGGGTGCCAGACCCCTTCCCGGGGTGTTTTTTGGGGGTTTGAGCCTTTCCCGAAGGTTTTGGGAGGTCTGAGCCCACCCCAAACCCAGCATTACCCCCCCATCACCCCCTGCGCCCCGGGTTCATCATCATCCCCCCACCCCCGTCCTCTTTTGCCCCAAAAGCCCCCAAACCCCAGCCCACCCCCCAACAAGCCGGCAGCCACGACACGCAGGGGACAGAGG